AAAGAGCGAAACTCCGTCTCAAAAAAAAAAAAAAAAAAAAAAAAAAGCATTTTACGTGTGTTTTTAAACCACAGTTGTTTGGCCACATGAACAGTGCTGTGTCAAAGCTGGTAGCCAGCCTTATATGTGTGATTAGGACCCATGCATAATCTGGTATGCATCTAAACGTTCAGTGCTCCACTTTTACTGGAAAAGCTGTGAAATGCAGTTGTTCTGCCAAACCACACTCCACTCCTTTCATATTCCTTTCTAGGGAAATATTTTAGTTTGTCAGTTACTGCTGAATAACTCGAGGGCTGATCTGTAGATTTTATCCAATGTCAAAAAGTCAATCTTGCCTTTTTCAAGCCACTTCAAATAACTATGGAGATTATTATCACCCTGTAAAGTATATTGTTTTACTCCTAAGCAAGGGTGAGGAATCTGAGTATCACGTGCAAGGCTCAAGATGACGCTTAGGACAGAACATGCAGAGTAAAAATAGTTTCCTTCCATCTCCAGGTAATATAAAGCTGACAACTGTACTCCTGTCTTTATGGGATAAAAACAGTCCCTTTACAATAAGTTTCCTGAAAGGGGGAACAAATAGATAATAACTCTTCTGGTAACATATTATGGTACACTGACCAGTGTGTTTTTGGCGATTAAACATAATCCTGTGAATCAGATTAATTCACTTGCTGAGTGTTCATTTGCGGCATCCCTCTGTTGGGTCTTGGGGGATCTCCACGACCTCGTGGGGCTCCCCGTGGTCCACTCTGCCCAGAGCCTCGCTTGAAATTCTGCTGATATCCATCCCGTTGATAGCCAGAGTAATCCGGGGAGCACTGAACTGAGACTGTGTATAACCACTGTTCGGAGTGTTAGAGAATGAAGGGTGGTAACCATCATATCCTCCTCTGAATCCATTGGCAGGGTTCCGGGATCCATTCATCAAGCCTCTAGCACCACGGGAACCTCCACGAGACACACCACGGCTATTGTAAAAGGGCTCACTGCTGCATGGAAATCCAGTGTTCTGCTGAGGAGGCTGCTGGTGGTTACCAGTCACTTGATGGGACTGGTCCGGGGAACCATGGTATGTGCCCACCACTGTTTGAAGCTGTTCTTGCTGAAGCTCTGTTCTCCTTGGTGAGGCTGACTAGAAAAGCTCTGGTTATAACTGGCCTGGTACTGATTTTGCTGTTTTAAAGTTTCTGGTTCATTAACAGGAGGAACTGGGGCATTCATATTGAACACTGTTTGCATGGATTGGAATGGAGCTGCATTTACATTGATTCCACTGCTATGTAAACATTTGCTTGTCCCAGCCTGAAATACTTGAGGCTGAGAAGCAGCAGGAAGGGATGATGATGCTGTAGTCTGGTCTGTATTTAAAGAGATTGTTGCCTGAATCTGATCGATTGGTTCCTTCTGTGGTCGTGGCTCTGTAGCATGAGAAGGCTGGTACAGGAGTTGAGACGCTATATACCCCTCACTTGTGGATGACACCAAAGGAACCTGTGTGGCTTCTGGTTGTACAGGAACTTGAGTAGGCTGAGCAAGCCTAGATTCAGAATGAACTGGAGGGCAAACCAGCTGGGGCATGTCCATGTTTTGTGCTGGATTCATAGGCTGTGCAGATACAATGGCAGGATCAAGTGTCTGGTTTTCAAAATCCAGCATTGAATCCTGTATGAAATTATAGGGACCCTGCATCTGTGCCATAAGGTCTTGTACTCACTGTCTTCTCACAAGGGGATCTGCTTGAGCCACGGGAGTCAAAGAGTGGGGCTCTGGTACTGAAGGGGATGCAGCCTGAGGTTGCTGCTGGAGTGAATTTACCACCTCAACTGTTTCAACTGTCCACTCATCTACCTGCTCCTTTTCACCACTGGTGAACTGTGTTTCTGCCATGAACTGTCTACTTACATACTCTGTTGATTCAACTTCATTTTGCTCAGTGTACTCTTCTGCTGGCTCAGGTTCAGCTTCAGCTACCTGGTTTTCAACTGTAGGTGCTAAGGCTGCCTCTTCTTCCTCACACAACCCATTCTGGTGGTTGTGGGTGCTGTCAAAGTAGTTTGACTGAAAAACACGCTCGACAATTTCCTTTAGAACTTTATAGGTGGTTCCACGTACAGATTTTTCCTTCCCTTCCAGCAGGTCCCACAGGTGAATGGAGGCATGTTCATACTGTTCATTCGACCTCAAGCTCATGTCCCATTCAGGGTCTACTAACTTACAGAATTCATCCAACAATGACAATTCCTCTTCGGACAATATTGGCACTCCATTCAAACCTTGTTTCCGGTCAGTTCGCACTTCATTATCTCCTGGTTTGTCCAAAACATTCTGCAGCTCAAGTACAGTTTTTAAACGTTTCTGTTCAGCTTCTTCTCTCATCAGCTGCTCCCAACGTGCTGTCTTCTTTATTGTTTTCTGAATATCTTGACTTAGTACCATGAAACTCCTCTGTAATTCTTTTGCAAACTCCAAATTATTTGTGACTTCCTGGTACTTAGAAACGGCATCCAGCTGATCTTGATTAAGCCTTTCCCCTTTGTTCACTCGTTCCTGGTAATCATCAAGTTTACCTTTTGTCTTCTCCAGGTTCCGAAGTTTCTTATCGATCACCCGGCTAATTTTTATATTTTTGGTAGAGATGGGGTTTCACCATGTTGGCTGAGACAGGAGAATTGCTTCAACCCAGAAGATGGAGGTTGCAGTGAGCCGAGATTGCACCACTGCACTCCAGCCTGGTGACAGAATGAGACTCTGTCTCAAAAAAAAAAAAAAAAAATTACTTAGAAATAAATGTAACGGCCGGGCGCGGTGGCTCACGCCT